TATTTTACTGTGTAGATTTGGGACCTGGCCCTCCAGTATTTTCCATGTGTATATTATTTGGTATCTCTCTCGTCTCCTTTCTAGAGAGTACATTTGGAGAGCTTTGAGACGATCCCAATAATTTAGGTGCTTTATCGTGCTTATTTATTTATTTAGGTTCTTTATTACTCTGTCACATATATATAGATTATAATTTGGGATCCAGATTTCACTATCCATGTAGTCTTTTGTGGGTTTCTGTAAATGCACCAAATTCGATTCTATTAATTCGAGTTCGATTCTATTAGAAGACCATTTCTGAACATAACTTTATTTCTTGATTTTGATTTTAGGCCTTTTAGGTATGTTTGTAAATATGAATGATTTCCCATATTGCGTGACACTTCTGATTGGCTTTGGTAGTTCTCCCCTCTCTCCCACCATAGTCCAGGTGTGTTGTTGTGGTAGTGGTTCGTCCAGTGTTGGTGGTAGTTCTCCCCTCTCTCCACCATAGTCCAGGTGTGTTGTTGTGGTAGTGGTTCGTCCAGTGTTGGTGGTAGTTCTCCCCTCTCTCCACCATAGTCCAGGTGTGTTGTTGTGGTAGTGGTTCGTCCAGTGTTGGTGGTAGTTCTCCCCTCTCTCCACCATAGTCCAGGTGTGTTGTTGTGGTAGTGGTTCGTCCAGTGTTGGTGGTAGTTCTCCCCTCTCTCTCCACCATAGTCCAGGTGTGTTGTTGTGGTAGTGGTTCGTCCAGTGTTGGTGGTAGTGCGGGTGTTGTGTGGTGTAGTACCTGTGTGCTGGTTGTTACATACAAGAGTTGTTACATTCTTGTACAGCCACTAGTACGCGTAGCGTTTCGGGCAGGTCCCTGGAATACGATCCCCGCCGCGAAGAATCGTTTTTACAACCAAGTACACATTTTACTGTTGCGTTAAACAGAGGCTACAGTTAAGGAATTGCGCCCAGTAAATCCTCCCCGGCCAGGATACGAACCCATGACAGCGCTCACGGAACGCCAGGCGAGTGTCTTACCACTACACCACGGGGACTGCTGTTGATGACTTGTATTCCAGTCTTGTGGGTATCTCCCTCCCCCTCTGTAATCCTGCAGTGGTTCTATCTGCTTGTTCCTCTCTCTCTTATATGTACTACTCTGTTTCTGCCTTTCTCTAAAATAATTCCAGTAGTGTCATACTGATCTTCCCGTCTATAACGTTGTGTGCCTCTCACGTGGAATTCCGGGCACGGAAGATTGTAACATTTTTTGTCACTAATTGACAATTTACATAGTTTAGGGTGGAAGTATCTGCACTCCCGTCCCCCTGCCCCCTCCCTCACTCTCTCCTCCCTCACTATCCCCGGCCCCTCCCTCACTCTCCCCTCCCTCACTCCTCAGCTCCTCACCGCTGCTAGAGTGCCACGTCTGGCGGTGGTGGGGGCCGAGACCCGCTCGTCTAGGGCCGCCATTGTCAACATGGCTCCGCACTAGTTGTGTGGACCTTGTCAAGTGGTGTTGGAGACGCTGGTGTTGCTGGTGGCTAGTTAGTCTGGGCCAGGAGAGGCAGACGGGTCATAATGGACCTCCAACAACAGCAGCATTAGTCAGTATTCACCGGCTGCACCTGGAGGAGCTCCTGACGCGGCCTTGAGCACTGGCCTGCCATTAACTGGTGGGCAGCGCGTGCTCTAGGGCCCCGCCTCTCCTCCCTCCAGCACATGATGACATCTTGTGTCAGGATTTAGGACGACACTGGAGGGTGGTGGTGGGGGTGGGGGTAGAGGGTGGTGGGGGGGTATGTGGTGGTGGTGGTGGGGGGAGGGTGTGTGGTGGGAAGGGGGTGGTGGGGGTGTGTGGTGGGTAGGGAATGGTGGCGGTGTGGGGGGTGGTGAGGTGTGTGGTGGTGGGGTGGGGGAGGTGTGGTATGGTGGTAGTGGTGGTGGTGGAATATGTACTGATTTAGTTGTGCTTGTGGGGGTTGAGCTCTTTGGTCCCGCCTTTCAACCGTCAATCAACTGGTGTACAGGTTCCTGAGCCTATTGGGCTCTATCATATCTACACTTGAAACTGTGTATGGAGTCAGCCTCCACCACATCACTGCCTAATGAATTCTACCTGTTAACTACTCTGACACTGAAAAAGTTCTTTCTAACGTCCCTGTGGCTCATGTGAGTACTCGGTTTCCACCTTCACTCACGTGCCACAGATGTTGGGCCACACTCACCTTCACTCACGTGCCACAGATGATGGGCCACACTCACCTTCACTCACGTGCCACAGATGATGGGCCACACTCACCTTCACTCACGTGCCACAGATGATGGGCCACACTCACCTTCACTCACGTGCCACAGATGATGGGCCACACTCACCTTCACTCACGTGCCACAGATGATGGGCCACACTCAAAGGTTTCCACCATCACTCACGTGCCACAGATGATGGGCCACACTCAAAGGTTTCCACCTTCACTCACGTGCCACAGATGATGGGCCACACTCAAAGGTTTCCACCTTCACTCACGTGCCACAGATGTTGGGCCACACTCAAAGGTTTCCAACTAAATTTGTACTAAAACTGAGAGACCTGAGTACAGGTTAAAGGAACCGCCTCCTCCCCCTCACACCCTAAGAAGAGAGGGGATATGACTCCTACATACAAGATCCTGGGGGCAGGTGGACACGCAACCGACGTGTTCTGGTGCCCTTGGCGCGTGTTCGGCAGCTGGAAGACACTGAGGAAAGATGAAGTTGAAGCCAGAGCCACCCACCAGTCTTGAGCTAAACGATAAGTCCGCTAATACTGAGGTTATCTTGAGGTTATCTTGAGATGATTTCGGGGCTTTAGTGTCCCCGCGGCCCGGTCCTCGACCAGGCCTCCACCCCCAGGAAGCAACCCGTGACAGCTGACTAACACCCAGGTACCTATTTTACCGCTAGGTAACAGGGGCATAGGGTGAAAGAAACTCTGCCCATTGTTTCTCGCCGGCGCCTAGGATCGAACCCAGGACCACAGGATCACAAGTCTAGCGTGCTGTCCGCTCGGCCGACCGGCTGGGAGGTGACTAGCACGCCAGGTATGAACGGGTAGGAGGAGGGGGGGGGGTGAAGAGCTAGAGCTCGCTCGGCCGTCGGTAGTGAGAGGTGGGCACTACCACACACACACGCACGCACGCACTCACGCACGCACTCACGCACGCAGCAAGGCGCCAGGGTGCTGCAGGGTACGGGAGAGGTGCAACTGAACACTCCCATGAAAAAAAGAAAGCTGGTCTCAAATGGACTTCCTGTCCCGCCTCCCTCCCCCCCCCCCTCCTCCCATAACCTTCCCCGCCTCCCACCATTCCCCTCCCATTAACAACCCCCCGACTCCTCCTATCCCCCCCCCCTCCCTCCCTGTGTACTCTCTTTCATACGTGTATCAAAGAATGTACTTGAGCGCTAGTAGAAAGGCGGGGTCCAAGAGCTAATAGCTCGATCCTGCAAGCATAGATAGTAACTGCACACACACACACACACACACACACACACACACACACACACACACACACACACACACACACACACACACACACATGGTCAGGGAAATGGCTACTGGAGTTTAACACCAGTAAATGTAAAGTTATGGAAATGGGATCAGGTGACAGGAGACCAAAGGGACAGTACACAATGAAGGGGAACAGCCTACCTGTAACGATTCGAGAAAGAGACCTGGGAGTGGATGTGACACCTAATCTAACTCCTGAGGCACATATAAATAGGATAACGACAGCAGCGTACTCTACACTGGCGAAAATTAGAACTTCATTCAGAAACCTAAATGAGGAGGCTTTTAGGGCGCTTTACACTGCCTGCGTGAGACCCGTCTTAGAGTATGCCGCGCCATCATGGAGCCCCCACCTGAAGAAACGCATAAAGAAACTGGAGAAGGTTCAGAGGTTTGCGACGAGGCTTGTCCCAGAGTTACGAGGGATGGGATATGAAGAGCGGCTGAAGGAACTGAACCTTACGACAC